AAAGGCATCTCATAACTACAGGCACAATTGTTGAGAACGGCCGTTTCTCGTTGACAAGTTGATTTCAACCACCGTCTGTGTTTTCAGACAGACATTTTATATTCTGTCTGGTTTTGACAACCTCATGCCCCACGTTGCAAAGAAGCTCGTCTGTGTTTTCTTTCCTGTAATTCATTCCATTCTATTCTCTAACATAAACAACGCACTCTGGCGTTTATTTCACCTCATATGCAAAATTTTGAAAACAATGTGTGCGGAGCTTACAGTCCCGGCAAATTCGAAACTCAACGCTTTTGAAACCCATTTTTCCGGCAAATCAACAATATGTCAGAGAACAATAGTGTTGTTGGGCATGTTGTGTGGCATATAGCTTTCTTTTGTAAACTTGTGTCACTGACCACTTCACACTTTGGCGATTACTGTAAAATCTGTATTAGAAGCTGCGGCTTCTATTAAAATGGTACAATGCAACAGAAGGGATGTGGCTTCTTTTAGAGCGTCTAAACATATGAGAAATGGTGAATTTTTGGTTCTCAATTATTCAAAAAGAATGGGTGCGACTTTTATTAGAGATGCGGCTTCTAATACAGATTTTACGGTACAACTTTTATCGAACCGAGATTGACTGTATTCGTAGGCATGGTGACGACCGAACCCGACCAGATGCAAACTCTGCATGTTTAATCAGATAAATAATTAGTCTGAGACCTGCATTAGTCTTTGAAGACTAAACTAACTTTTAAAAAATAATTTTTATGGAAATAGTCACTATAAACCCTAACCCTTGCCAACCTCTGAGTATGTGGGAAACATGAGAAATCACTAGAATTGCTAAATATATTATGCCCCACCCCTTTGATAACACACAAATGCTGTATGTTTTTCCCAACCTTCCCTATACCTATACTTTTGTCCATGGGTCCACAGGTAAGTTTCATGAGAAAATGACCTACTCCTTCAGGCATCTATAAACTTTGCTATCCCAAAATTAGCCCAATAGTTTTCCCACGTACAATATGTACATTTATGTGTACCACAAGGTGGGGTTGCCCTCATACGTCAATGCACGGTTACTAGAATGTGTAACTTTCAGAACATCTACGATACACAAAACATGTAGCTATTGA